TGCCTCTTGGCCTCTTTGCCTCTGTCAAGCTATAAAATGTCATTGTTACTTCGTTTAAAACTTCAATTAGCATATCGATCGACTTGCAGTGTCAAGTTGACCGTAACACCAACTTTGAGTTTTAAGATGAACGTCCGATGAGCGGAATTTAAACAAGATCCGTGGACTTGACGTGCTCCGAACACTGATTAAGATTACTGGGTACCGTGTTGGGATCGTCTGGAAATCGCGATTCGGAGGGTCGAGGTTGCAAGAACCGTGAGGACCGCGAGGAGATTTTCAGGAGGCTCGAGCCGCGTCTTTAAGAAGCGCATGGGCGCGTGTCATACGCGCGGATCTCTCTCTCTCTTTCTCTCCGTCTCCCCCTCTCTCTCTTTCTCCCGTCGAGAGGCATAGATGTATGTCGCGTTCTCTTACGTAAGGATCCTGCGAGCACCACCGTTCGAGTACCGTCGATCATGTTATATCGGGCGATCTTCGCGACGGAAGAGCGGCCGCGCCGCGCGCGACCTGCACGTGCGTGGCGCGAATCCCATTGTTCCTGTGACCGGGCTTGCTGTGTGACACGGTGTGTATGTGTGTGTGGTGTGAGAGAGTGGTCGCCCTTAGAAAGACAAGAAAACGGAGCGATGCGTGAAAACACCGACACACGCGCGCTGTAGACGCTGAAATCAATTTGTTGTTTTGACTTTTTTTGAGATCGATCAGATTTTTTATTTGAGGGAGAAAGGGACGAATATGGCGCAAAGATTAATGGAGATGTTAATAAAAATAGGTCATATAAAAAAGCGTGCATTGCATCATTAAAGCAACTTGTTGATAAGATTTGAGACTTTCTCTCGTCTCATTGGGCGATTGTTGCTCGCGATATTCGATAGACTCGAGGTTACGCGCGCCCCGAATTTTTCATGTGAAATTACAAAGCGGGCAAGGGTGAAGCGAGTCAAGAACGTGACTGTTGCCTTTTCCATGCGACACATCCACGCGCTTTGCCATTGAAGTAGCGGACGCGCCGATATGCGCGTCGTGTCCGTGCGGATCGTCGATTACGCGGGATTTTCGTGGCGGTGCGATTACGCCCGCGCGATGGGGTTTCGCGGATGTGTGTCGTCGTCGTCGTCGTCGTCGTCGCAGTTGTTCGCCATAAATAACAGGAGCACGACGACGTTAAAAATAGCGCCCATCCTATAGAGGAAGTGATGCGCGCTCTCGGCACCGCGCGAGGCGCATCTCGCGGATGCGCCCTGACGGATGCGGGTGACGCGTGTATAAATCTGTTCCAAAAAAGAGAGAGAGAGAGAGAGAGAGAGAGAGAGAGAGAGAGAGAGAGAGAGAGAGAGAGAGAGAGGACCTCCGCTCGGCGAATTCCGCGAAGGGATTCCGGCCAGTCCGAAATAAACGATCCTCCCGCGAAATTCCCGCGTTTCGCTGCGCGATCGTGTTTCATGGTCAACGTAATTAACAACGACGTTGGCGCGATTCTCTCACGAACGCGTGACGGTCGGACGACACCATCGAAGTGTTCTCGATTTTTCGTGGAATATCGAGCGAAGAACGAAACAAGGCGCGCTGCTGGAAGACGTCTTCTGCTCGCGGTTCGGATATTTTCCGGTGGACGAATGGATTTTCGCGCGTCATGTGGACGAAGGATTAAACTTTCGCGAGCGATACTCCCTCGATTCCCGGCAGATCGAACATATTTTCTCTATATAGAATAAGATTATACAATAATCCTTAAACACTAGAATGAACATTCACCTGATGATATTTTCAGCTGTTGCCACTAGATAGCAACATATTATACAGCGGTGTCTTGCTAGGATTTATAGTATTCATAAATATTTATATAGCTCATGTGCATCTAAAAAAAATAAAAAAATATTATAGGTGAAAATTTCGTCCTAGTAATAAGAGGTAGCGAAAACATCCTAATATCCAAGGGTTAAAGAGTTAAATATTAGAACAAAGAGATAAAGAAAAATGTGTATTGAAATTCGTTCATGAAATATTCATGAAAATTCATTAGTAGTGATTGAGCATAGCAGATATTGGAATATGCAATGTACCGATAACAAGCGAATAGAAGACTTGATTGAGCTTCGCATATTGACAAGTCTCTTATTTGTTTGTAAAAGCGTGAAAAGCGAAATCGCCGTAGCGGCGGCATTCGTCCGCAAAAGGTTAAAGATAGACTCTCTGAGAAAATAATTCCAAAGAGGGACACCCACACACGTTGATGAAAGCGCTCGACCGAGCTGGATAATCCCAATTCTCCGGGAAAAAGTCGCGAACACGCACCTGTGTGAATCGTCGACATTTCGAACCGGAAATACCGAAATCCGAGGCGGACGCGCAGCATTGCGCTCTCTCGCGATCTGCCCGACTCTGCTCGGCGCGTCGAGCCGAGCTCTCGTCGAAGCCGGGATGATATATGTATAATAGCGTAACTGAGACGCTAATTGTGCGCCGCGAGCGTTGCCATTATCCGAGCGGCGAGTGCTCCCACCTGAATTCCGAACAATGTGACTGGACGGAGACCTTTGGCGGAGTTTGTCTTGCCTAACTCGAAGTCTCCGAGCTAGCGAGGCCGGCTCGGCTCGGCCGGCGCAAGGTGTCGCAATACCGCGGCCGCGCAACGAGCTAAATTATCGTTAACGGTAAAGCTAGCGACAGAAATATTCGCCGAAGCGAAGCTGGATCTAAAATTAATTCTCATTATCTTGGCGCACGCGGCGGCGGCGGCGGCGGCGTGTAATCGCCGAGAAAATTCACCGCCCCATAAAACGCGGCAACATTTACATTGCCCGCGACGCGGAGCCTTCGACGATGCGCTTACGTCATCGGGGAGGAGAAAAAAGGACGGTAATGTTAATGTAAACAGTTACTTTCCATGTCCGTAAGATTCGACGGCGAGCGTGCACTCGTGCGTGACTCCTCGCGCGCGCGTCCCCTCGGACGATTTTCCGTTCGACCGTTCTTCTCCGCTCGGCTCGCGCGATTTCGCGCATCGTCCGGGGCGGATTTCTCGCGTCGCGGGTAACGGCACGTCGGGACCGCGCCAAGACGCGACGAACGGTGCGCGGTGTGCAAAGGGATTTCGAAGGATAACGCGAGGAATAAGAGCGCAAACGCGGCGACGCGTTGCCGGTGTCTCGTTTCCGATCCGCGGAGATCCGCGTATAAATGGCGGAGTTTTTAATTGTCTGTGTAAATAGATCACTTTAGCGCTCGCGAACGTCGCGAACGGGATTCCCGAGGGGAGTCGAATCCGAAAAGTGTTCAACAGGCGGCGAACGCGCGCGCGCGCGCGCGCGCAGTTAGCGCGAACGCGGTGTAGGTGATTGGCGGAGCCTATTATGTCACAACTTCTAGCCGCAGTGGCAAGGTAGAGTCGGGCCGTGAACCCAGGAACGGCCGCCGGCACGTTGCACAGGCGCACGTGACCGGGCGAGCGCGCGCAAGCTTTCCCGCCGTTATTCCCGCCTGGCCGCCGACTTTTCAGTGCCAAGCGGATAAACGCGCAGCCTCGAGGAAAGCGCGGCCGTTCCGCGCGCGCCTTTCGCGCCCCCGGCTGACGCGGCCGAATCTTCCCTGCGGAGGATGCGAGAGGATTCTTTTTTTTTTTTCTCTCTTTAATCCTCAAATACGGCTACCACCGTACGGACGAATTTCGTAGCTCGTGCAAGCTCTTTTGTTTCGTTTTCATTCAATTTCAAATGTTTCTGCAAACCATAACTTCTCTATTTTTCGTGTAATATTCAATAATGGTAAAACATTTAATTTAATAAGCATTCGTTTGACTTTATTTGTAAAATTAAAAAAATATGTATCTCTCAGGATGAAATTTTTCACCCATGACGCAGCATTAACTAGTAATTTTCTTGGAGACTATTGCGAAGAGGAGACACGTCGCTTCGAAGCGTGTTGCTAAATCTAATTATCGACGTTTCGTTTTGTAACGAGCGATGAGACACTGCGCGGCAAAATCCTAAGCCTCTTGTGTGAAACAATTTGAAAAAGGTGAGGGGTGACCGCGAAGGTGAAGAAGGAGCGATTGTTTGCAAAGTCGACGAAGTCGCTCACGATCTCGCCGCGTGGCTAATCGTAGAAGACTGGAAACCGCGACGACGTTCGCGAAAGCGCAGATTTTATTCGATGAAAGAAGAAGATTCCCCGAGGTATGTGTAACCTTGCCTCTCCGCATTTTGCCTTTTGCAATCGCAAGGTGCTAGTTCTGCGCGCTAAAATAGATCAGCGTGAGTGTATCTCGTGTCTCATTATTCGCGATAATAGCACTTCCACGTACACACATATACACATATACATCCGCTACACACGCGGTAGACAATCTTATCTAAATATTTGCATGTCATTGCGGGATTTCAGTCGCCGTCTCATCCACGAGGCAATCTCTTATTTCGATTTTATCTGCATTACGTAATCCGCATTCCAGCTGCGTCGTTTCCACGCGAACGCGCGCGACCACGTCGATCATCCGCGACGCGAAAATCCACTTTGATTCCGTTCTCGCGCGACGATCGCGATTGTCTGTCGCCGATCGAATTTTTCGTCCCTCTTTCCTTTTGAACCCTCCGACCCGCGGCGGTTTCTCGAGGAAAGAAGCAGAGGAAGAAGAGGAAGTCGGATCTAATTTCGCCATGTTTTATCATAAAAAGATTCTCTTTATTGTTCAGTACTTGTTAAAATGTGTTATATTACAAATTATATATTGCAGTATATATTGTACACAATACAATAAAATTAGATGTATTATGTACAATACAATAAAATTAGATTAGTGCACGCGTTAATTTGTAACATAATTTGCACATAATGCAGAGATATTCATATTGTGGGAAATATCGTTAATACGTACAATTCATTTAGTTATAAATAGTTTGATCAAGTCCGCAACGTGCAGAATATTTGTATACAGGGTGTCCCAAAATTGTAACACACCAACTTCATGGGGGCGTCGGGCTGGAGTTGGTGTGTTACAATTTTGGAACACCCTGTATACAATATATTCCACATGTCGCGGGCTTGATCAAATTACTATTTATAACTGTTATAACTAAATGAATTATATATATATATATATATATATTAACAATATTTCTCATGATACGAACATCTCTGCATTATGTGTAAATTACGTTACGAATTATCGCGCGCGCACATGTAAATCGCACGATAAATCACAACCGGCAGATATTACTGATATGCTCACTGTGCTTTAGGAGTGCAATTTTTGACTCTTCAATGTTTTCCCGCGAACAGAATACTATCATCAATTACAGAGTCTAAAGCGGGCCTGGATGCACAGTTTATCTCCACGTTTTGTTTATCACGAGTTACGAAGCGCGACTCATGCATGCTGCTTGCGACGTATAAATTGATCGCGACCTTCGTACGCGCATAATAATATATAAATATAAAATAATAATTTATGAATATATTATATAACATGTACGCCACGCCTACGAATATATCACGAAGTAATAAATATCCCGTAAATGCGATAAAATGTTATTTCATCGCATCCGTAAAATGTTTGTTACTCCGCGGTATAAAACTCGATTTATTATTTCATTATAAACTAATAAACAATCGATCGTTTTATTAATTTATATAAATAATAAATTTACGTTCGTATTAAAAATAGAACAAGGACCGGACATCTCCAACTTCCAAAACGAAATCGACCGCCAACGAAACATTCACCTTAGTGTTTCCTCTTGCATATTTTTCGACGAATAGCTTTGTTCTTATCGTCGTGACAACAATACACCTTTACGTCGTTGTTATCGCTGCAATCGGATGTAGATGGCGACGATGATGTGCGCGACGATGAGGGTGACCTTAACATCGTCAATTTTGAGAGATTCAACAACGACGATTTCGATGAATTCGTCGACGATGACGACGACGACGACGACGACGACGACGACAATGACGACGACGACGACGATGACGCTGACGATGACGATGACGATGACGACGACGATAAGAATGACGATTCTGACGACGACGACGATAACAATGACGATTCTGACGACGAACGATCTTGAAACATAAGAATCGATTTGAAAGAGAGAGAGAGAGAGAGAGAGAGAGAGAGAGAACATACCGAATCGGAGTGTATCGCGGCAACCTCCCGAAGGTTTTCGGCCGTTTCTCCCAGGCGATACAGACCGAAACGTCACGAATAGAACGCGAGGAACGTACGTTTCACAATTTCGATTTTATTATTTCTTGACGAGTTTAATATTATTAAGCGTTTTTATACCTCTTTTCGGTGACTGCCTTCTCATCGAGTTTCTCGCTATATTCGAGGATTTCTTCTTCATTCTTTTCCAGTCCTTCTTATTCTTTACATCAATATCCATATCGCTATCTACATCTGCAATTCTCGTCCAGGATTTCTTCTTAATTACTTTCCAGCTTTTTGTGCTCTTTGTATCAGTATTATTCGTATCGCTGTCCTCGTCTGGGACTGTTCTCGTCAAGGGTTTTTGGGCCGAGCGAACGGACTTGCAGTCGAAAGATGAAGCTGAAAAATCGTCTGACGGCATGTACGCTCCCTCGTCCTGCTCACATCGGTTGACATGATTGAGGGTGCTGTTCAACTCCTGCAGCGGTTTTTTGGCCTTTGATTTCACACGCCTGAAACATCGACATTCTCGCAAGATTACGATCGCGATCGGTACGATTGCCCCGGAGACATCAGTTTTCGCGCGGACGAAAACGCTCGTCGGAAAATTTCGATTGGAAGGACACGCCTCGACCGTCCCGGCCCGGCAAATCGCCTTGAAGACCGCGTTGCTTGAGAGAAATTCGCGTTAAATTCGAGCTTTACACCCCCCGTTTACACCCCTCGCGATCGAGGCTGTTGATCGACGACACGACGACGTATTCTCCCCGCGTAATCAAGTAATCGATGCGCGATCGTGACTTTTGTATCGGCGGACACTTCTCGCGTCGCAAGGACGAGAGAGAACGATCGACGCTGTCGAGACTTGGCGCGGTCGCGGCGCGGATTTCTTAACGAATCATGGCGTTCGCGGTGCTGGATACTTCGCTGACGGGCGCTCGCGAAGAGCTCTATCTAAATGTACCTTTTGCAATACATCCTTCGGTCTGTTGGTCTACCGTATCAGCAAGTTTTACGATTCGGCCACGATGTATCCGCTCGTTCTCGCGTTTGTTTTTTGTAAACGATCAGCAGATAATGTCGCTATATCGCTTGCGAACAATCGACTGTCGGACCGTGATCAACTAAATTATTAGCTGAGATTGTTAGCGTGATTAGAGCACGAGTAATTCGAAGATAGGCAACGCGCGAGGCTGAGCTATCCAAGAAAAAGAGGAACGCGAGAACGATGTTAACTGCGAGACTTTTAGTTACCCAATTCGAACGTTCGATCCCGCGGCTTCTTATATCGTGTCCTTTCTCGCGACAAACATTCGCCGTAGCGTGGGGCACATACATTGTATTGTAGACGATGCGAGCTATTGGCTCGACGGCGAGACAAAGCCCGTCCATTAACCGTCGTTTCGACCGTAAACGGACCGATTTCGGTCTCCTCAGCGGGGAATCGAAAGATCTCGAAAAATCTCGACGGGGAAGAATGCGCGTCGAAGCGATGGAGAACGATGCTTGTCTCAATTGACGCGTCTCATCGAACGCCCTTCACAGAGGGAATCTCGCTCGATAAGTTCAACGAATTTCTCGCATCGGCCAATCGCGGTGGACCTTGATGTGGCAAGCAGACCTCGCGAGATCGAGTTGCGTCAATAAGAAATAGACTGTCTGTTTGTGTATTCGTTCGCGTGTTACCGCGTTTCTCATCTGTTGACCGAGCGACGATTGTTACAGCGGCACGGTATAATAACAACAACGACAACACACGCTGACGCGTCGGGTCACGTGGAGCGGCGAGGAACGCGTCGTCGCGGTGATGTGATATATCTCCGCGAAACGGAAAATATCGCGATCGCGAGTGTGAACGGGCGTGTGCGCTCGCGATACGCGCAGTTATGCCGTCTTGCAGATTGTTATGCAACGCCGCCGCCGCCGCCGCCGTTGCATATTGACGCAATTGAGATCCAATCGCGGCACAAACCGATCGGTCCATGAGAAATCTGGAATTATACGTTTTACATGTCGGTCGTTCGCCGCCGCCGCCGCGGCGGTCGCGTTTCGCGATCGGGAGAATTGAAAGGGCCGTCGTCGTGACTGCGATTACGTTAATTCCTTTGCTCATGATAATGCCGCACCTTGGGCGACCTTGTGCTCGTAAATTTTCGATTCATAACGATCAGTACGCGTGCGAAACGCGTAGACTCGCGGTGCTGGCCGCTTTTTGTTTGCTGTTTATCTCGACGTGAACAAACGCGCGTCGAGTCTACATAAACTGTCGAGCGTACATTCGGGGAGCACATCTCGAGGACGCGAAAACTCGCGGAAGCTCCGGGCGTCTTACTTGATTTCTCGCTGAGAGCGAATTTCGCGTTATCATTTGCTTCCAAACGGGAAATCGCTCCTTTAGGTAGAAAATTGATGTTCAAAATTAATATCTAAGGATTTAACAACCTTTTCTCCTCGTCGGGGAAGCGCTAATGCGCTCATTCTTGCTCTCGAGACTCGCGACCGTTTGTCTCCGAGTGAAATTGATTGAATTTTAAGTAAATACTTGAAAGTCGATTCGTCAGCGAAGGTGCCAATTCTGATTACGGTTATTGTTGCCTTGTGCTTGCGCTGGTCGTTTGGTGCGAAGGTCGACACGTGCTTCTCGTGTGACTTGTACATGTACACGTCGCTTTGAAAATGAGATTTAGCAGATAATCGCGTTAGCGAGGGTGGCGAATGTTTATGGGGCTCCATGGGGAGCGATAGGACGGTGTGACTCAGCGGCTACGGGGGTGACGCAAGGAAATGGGGATTTTGGGGTCTCTATCACAGATAAGCCGGCGAGAGAGACCTCATATCTTCAAAGTCGTTATTTTTAGTTCTCTATTGATACGCATTAAAGACCGAGCACCGAGCCTGCCGAGAGTCGAGGAACGCCGCTATGTCTCAGTCGAACGGCGTGTAATTGTTTTTAATTTTAAACCGACGACGCTCCGTTTGCCCGGAGATTATCTGCCTTACGAATTTAGTTCTTGACTTGCTCGCATCTTCTCCAGCCTTTTTCAGCCGAGCGCTGTGAAAGGAATTTAACCGGCGATTGGAAAATCGCGCTGATTTAAAAAGGAAAATTTCATCATGAAGTTTTCATAGATTCCAGATTATAAAATCACACGACTCGGAATCGGGGCTAATTCTTAATAATGGTTTTCCAGGCACTGCAACATTTTACAAAATTAATTCTGCTTTCTTTCTTTCTTTAATTTTCTTCTCCTTAATTTCGACGGGCAATTTTATTTCCATCCTTTGCGATTTCTGATGAACTTTAACTCTTCAAAGTAGACGACACTTTTTATTCGATCATGGCTGATCGCTTTATCGCGCGCGAAAACGTGCGTCGCTCGCGCAAATCAAGACAGTTATCCATTCGGAAGCAAGCAAGGGATCTCGATGTTCAATTCGGCGAGCGGCCGAGTCGAGCGAGCGAAACTCGCGGTCGGGCGGATCCGCGCGTCGAACGCAGTTGCAAATCGCAGTTGCGAATTGCACGCGAACGAGGCGCGAGACAGCATCAGCTAGGAATTCGCTGTCGCAGGTAGACGCGCGCTCGGAGATCATCCGCGCGGGAGACGAGGAGGTGATTGTACAGAGCACTTTTCCACCTACGAGCGGTAAAAGTACGGCCCGTAATGGATCGTGACGGGACGTCTGTCGTGACTACGCTTGCGCAACTGGACACTAGGCCCGATTTCAGCCACCGCGCCGGAATGTCCATTACGGTACTACACGTCATATCTCCATTCATGCGCCGCCCCGTCATCCGCAGACGGACCGGCCGCCGGCTTTGTCTGACGTTTTTTCACGTTTCACGGCTCCCGGCGATTCTCCGGCCCGCCGGAGATCGAGAGCGACGGGACGAAAGGCAATCTCCTTCGTGCCGTAATTGCCTCCCCCTAATTTGCTTCTTCCTCGTCTCGGTATCGCACGCGTTGCGTTAAACGACTGGAATGCTTGAAGGGCTCCCTGCCAGAGGAAACCACCATCTTAAATTTTTCCTCACGCATTCTTTTCTCACTCCGTGCTTATTCCGGGCTGAATAAAGCCACGCACGGCTAGATTCTGCGGGATTTTGCGGGCGTTTCCCGTGTCAGTTTTGCAGATTTTCTCGGGCGAAATCTTTGTGAAAGATATCTCGGATCTTAGAGGAGAAAAATAAAAGAGAACTTGCATTGTAATTGTTGATTGTGGGAAAGTCAAGTCAAGTCGACGGACCGGACTTTGCTATTCGTGTGCCGTGATCAATCGATTGCCTCACGCGATCCGTTGGTAAAACCGCGAGCTCGTTTCAGCTTGTATACCGCCGACTCCATCTGTTGGTCGCGGGCAGAAATTTTAATAATATATCCTGATAACACCGAGCATACAGCATTTGTCGAAATTATCAATAATTCCGTAGTCGCGTAGCTCGCGTGGAGGCTTGCGTTTTGGCTTGCCGAAATTCAGGGTGTATAAAAAAGAAGTCTAGCGCGCATTTCTCTCAAATTAGATCTTGAGAGCGAAGTGTTCTTCAAAAACACTTTTCACTCTCTCTCTCCCTCTCTCTCTCTCTCTCTCTCTCTCTCTCTCTCTCTCTCTCTCTCTCTCTCTCACTCGTGCAGCGGATAATTTTCCTCTCGCTGTAACTAATTAAGAAAATTGTTTTTTTTTTTCAGATGCAGGTGCACAGGATGCAGTTCCGGCGGATGCCGTGCCGGAGGATCCGGTTCGGGCCGAGCGGGCACGGCTCGAAGGTACGCTCGTTATTATATCTCTCGAAATCGTTTAATCGCGCTCGAGAGCCGGGATATGGCCGTTGCAGCAATCGGTATCTCAATCGCGAGCGGCTAATCGATCCGTGTCGCTCGTTCGCGTCGAGTCGAGTCCGACCAAATCTAACCGGCAGGACTACATTTTCTGTTGCAGGTCTGGATAGCGGAACGTGGCCGGCCCTGATTCCGAGGCGTTCGGTGAGTGAAAAAAAAATGCATGACGAAAGATTTGAGGTGGTGGTTTTCTCCGCTAGAGAGTTCTCCAGTGAGATCAGTGTGCGATTTTCTCGGCTCACACATTCTCGCGTGTATAATCGGCGTGTATTGCTGGAGCGAAACACACGTCACTCGAAACAATTGGGCTCGCCCGCTCGATCACGAATACTTTTGATTTCAGCTTTCAATGAACATCATCCTAACGACACCCGATAGAGAGTTGCAGTATCTTATTCTTTCATTTAATTCAAAGCGTGTGCGCAATTACTCGACAAAACTATTCACACGATGCATTCCCCGATAATTGCCTCGCGCAACGTGAGATGCGCCGAATCGCGCCAGCGGGCGGTCGAAGACTGCTTTTTCAATCACCGCGATTAATATCCGCGATTAATATATACAGTCGAGGAATTTACGTTCATTGGAGAAAGATAGCGTGATATATATTCATGACAGGTCAAGCTCGACGCCGAATTATCGGCCGAAAGGGGGCGATATCCAACACAGTCGATTAATCAATAACAGCAATAACGGTTAATTAGCATTCCGCGGGCTTTCGTCCCAGTTTCCCCCTGCGAATAATCGCCCGCCCTTCTCGCTTGATTTACCGCGAATGCCTTCGACTTTCACATCGGGATTGCCGCGCGCGCGAAAACCATCTCCCGCGGGAAAACGGCGATGGGATGACGGCGGGGGGGCAGGCAGGCGGAGGCTATCGCGTCGCTTCGACGGCGGGCCGTTCACTTTCGTTTTCCGGGGTGGTTGTACCCCGCGCGTTGGGAAGCGCGACGCCGGCCGATGGGGTTGAAAGGCCCCGGGGGCGGCAGTGCGCAGTCGCGCTGACCGCTGTCCACTTCTCTTCGCGTTGGCATCCGCGGATTAGATTCCCCCACCCTCCGGCGCTTAGAACCGGATCGTAGTTAAGTACTACGAATACTCTCGCAAAGTAAAGCGACGCGAGCACGCCGCAATAAGGAATTAGCGGAGGCTTTCCGACGCGTCTCGTCCGCAAGCAACCGGCAAAATAAGGGGCTCCAGGGTGGCGAACGGCGAACCGAGTGAGTATTGTCGTCGTCGTCGTCGTCGACCGATCGCGACGGGACCGACGACGAGTGGGGTGGCCGTCGCCGGAAGTCGCCGGAATCCGTCCGTTCCGACGCGCGTTCTCGTTCGGGTCAGACGCGCCGCTCGAACTGCTCGAAAAAGGATCGTGGCAGCGCACGGCAACACCGTCGCGCGGCGTTTTTTCTTCCCATTGCGAGGCTGTGATTAAACGCGGCTGCGACGCCGAAGAGTACAATAGAATCGCGTGAAATATTCACGCCGCGACGGGGCAATTCGATCGGCGGCTCCACTTTGAGCTCGTTGTTGGACACATAGTTGCGCACGCGGCGCGCCGCGTAATACCGCCGGTGAATTATGAATCGCGGCCGCCGAGCTGCGTACGCGCGCGAGTTCCCGCGAATAAGTCGATAAGCGCGCGAGAACGTCGTAAAGCGAGAGCCGCCGGACTTTTTACGGGGGCGGATAGGATCTAAGTTTCTCCGCGAAAAGTAGGGCAAAGTCGCCATACGCGCGCGGTTTCCTTCCCGCGTAGAAGCCGACTAGAAATTTATCCCATGGTCCTGATCAGGTTAACCTTATTTGGACATCAGGTCCCAATAAGGTAATACTATCGGGTCCTAGTAAGTCATGTAACGCAGCGTGGATATCAGGTAACCTTGGTAAGGGTTCATAGTCAGGTCCCTTATTGAGTTACCTTATCCTTAGGAATCCTTATTACGTTTTTTTTTTTTTTTCTTTTATTCAAATTATGGCTCCTGATTACTCGCCACGGCTATATTGGATGATGACATTGGAAATAAGAAATGACACGCTGAAAATTCTTTCATGTCATTTCCAAATAAAAAGATATTTGCATGAAATAATATTTTAGGTCGCTTGAGCATATTTGTAAAATGTTTCGGAAAAGAAACATCAAATGAATATCATAAGATCATTAAGTATCACGAGACAAGTGACAAGACATAAAGCAGTGTTAAAGAGAAAAGTTGCATGTCACGTTAATTTTACAACTATTTATTGACTGCTAAAAAAATATAGATAGTTTCTATAGCATTTTACAAGTATCAATTCAAGTGATCTGAAGTGATTTTTCAATGCAAACATCTTTATATTTGGAAATGACACCCAAAAGTTGCTTTGTTAAAACTTGATAATGCAAATCATATTAGGTACAATGAACAAGATCCCGACAAGGACCTGATTAACTGAACCATATTATATCATACACTAGGTTGGTACATTAAGGTCCTAATGTGGACCCAATCATTATAACCTTATAAAGGTTTTCCTTACTCATTTGTCGCTAGGACATTATAAGGACTGACATATTCAGTAATTTACCTTTCATTCACACACTGTTAGGTCCTTATCAATGTCAGGTGAACCTGATCAAAATTTCTCGGTCGGGCGTCGAATCCCGCACGCGCGAGCCGCCGCTTGCTCGCCGCCACGTATACCGTAATCCTCAGTCTACTCAACCCTTTGCTGCGTAAGAAATCTCCACCCTCGCCGGCGGGCAAACGTGCGTCACGCTCGTCCTCGTCCCGAGTACGCCCCTCGTTCTCCGGAGTCTCGCGCTCTGGAAATTAACGCACGGCCAGCGCTCGATCGTGACGACGGAACCGCTCCTGCACCTTCTCGAAGGTGTAGGATTCGTCCCGTCGCACGTGTGTGTATGTGTGTGTCTCCCGTCGGCTGAATGTAACGATTGTACTCTTTAACTACGCGCTCTCGCCGTATCTCTCTGCCTCTGTGACGGAAGACCGAATAGATTCGTTTCTAATTTGCTCAGGTTCGCGGACCGCGAGTACCTCACGCTGTAAGTACCCCTCCGATACCTCCGGCCCCCTCCGCACGTTTGCGAGAAAAGAGAAGGAAGGATGTTACACCGTACGCGTGTGTGGGAAATCGACTTTCAGCGTGCCACTGCGCGTCGCGATTAGGAGATCTTGAGTCGTTAGGACGTTGTCGCGACATGCCACGTGCGACGTCGGCAATCTAAAAAGATCCGCGACCTCGTGTACAGTCAGCCCCGGCTCTATAGTCCGGGTGCAACAGTTGAAGTCAAGGCGAGGAATAAAGCGTAGCCCGGTTGCGTCTTGTGCCAAATCGATACCGCGATTATGCCGAGCTTTGCGGTACACGTAAATACGCGGCCCGCGGCACGAACGCGCGGAAGCGAGAGAGAGAGAGAGAGAGAGAGAGAGAGAGAGAGAGAGGGAGGGAGGGAGGGAGGGAAAGAGAAAAAAAGAGAGAAAAAGTGGGAGAGGGAGGGAGAGCGAGCGAGCGAGGCAACCGAAGGCGAATTCCACCTCCTGTTCGACCGCGGTCGCGCGATCGGCCGGTGGTCAGCGTGTCGCGAGAACTCGAGTACACCATCACCCCCGCTTGATCGGCCTCGTCCTCCTCTCTCTCTCTCTCTCTCTCTCTCTCTCTCTCTCTCTCTCTCTCTCTCTCTCTCTCTCTCTCTCTCTCTCTCTGTCTCTCTCTCTCTCTCTCTCTCTGTCTCGGCGAGGCCGCCGCCGATTGTCGCTCTTTGCTCGCGTAACGTAACGGAAAAGGGTAAGTGCGCGATTTATTATTTAACCGAGATAATCGATGGCTCATGGATACGTGCGCCGACTTACGTCCCCGCGGCTCGCGATAGTCGTCGTCATTTTCGCGATGGTGCCGCGCCGCGAGGCAGGAAACGCCCGTCTGCCGCCGCGAATCGCCGGCGACTCGTAAAGTCCCGCTCGTACGTTCCTTCGGCTTGCACTCGCGCGCAACAGAGAGAGAGAGAGAGAGAGAGTGAGTAAGAGGGGGAAAGATATAAATAACGGCAGCAGCGGGAACTATGCTGGCGAGATTCAGGAACAGCTTCCGCTGCGGCGTGCCCAAGTGCCCGACTCTTCGTATTCCAGGGATGGAGAAGCCAGAGTCCTCCGCGGAGGGCGAGAGCGCCGTCGAGCTGGAGGACAGGGATCCCAATAGCCTGAACCAACATCTTCAGGTACGCCGAGCTCGCACGGAGACTCTGTCGTTGAAAACTGGTTAAGCACAATGCATGCGCTATATTTCGCGGATAAATATTTCCCCCCGCGGAGCGAACGCGACGACTCGCGCTTTTGTCGCCTCGTTGCCGTTCTTCACGCACTGTTGATATCAGACCTCCCCTGCCGACATGAGCGAATGGCGCATTCTCCTCCCTCTGTTCAGCCTGACGTTTCGGGGTATCAATCGGAGAGATCGAACGCAAGATTTTCGTCAATCGCGCACCCTTCGTCCCCGCACTCCCACCCCTACACATCGTCCCCCATGTAATCTCGCATCTTCATCACGCATCCCCACTATTGCATCTCGCTAAAGACGAGCGTTCGCTTTTGAATTCTCAGCCCGGGGTTCCTCGGAGGGGGGGGGAGGGTTCCCTGGAGTCCTCGGCTGTCGCGCGAGTCACCAGCCACATTTCCGCGAAAAGAATCGGGGATCGATGGTCTTCAGCGGACCTTCAGACTAACTCGCGTGTTACTCATGGCTTTTTTTTCCTCGTCCTCGCCGCGGTCGCGTTTCGCTCGGCCGATAACTCGCACGCAGCGCACACACACACACACACACACGTCGGTCACTTGGCACACGTGCGTGCTGTTATTGTTACGCGGCAATGTATCGTACGGATGCAGGTGATGTGGGACGACGTGATCGGCGAACCGGAGGGCATCCGCAGCCCCGAGTGCGCCTGGCGACTCAGCGGCCATTGCTTCCGGCTTTCCAGAGGATGCTGTTACGTGCTCCTCTCCGTTCTCGTGGCGCCCCTGCTCGCCCTTTGTTTGGGTTTCACGTTCGCCTGTCTCGCGTTTCAGGTGAGTCGATCACTCCCTCCTGCCCGTCCTTCTTCGCGGCCTCCCCCTTGGCCGCTTCTGCGGCGGCCCCCCGATCGATGTCAGGTGTCGCACCGCGGTCTATTACGAGTCTGCGATTGTTTCCGAATAGAATGGAAGTTACAGGCCAGGCGGAAGGATTCAGTCGCCGCGGTCGAACTGTTTAATGTCCGCCTCCGTCGCGGTGTGCGGAATTCGATATTTCAGTGTAACGCGAGTGTAATCATGCGGCGACCATGTTTAATATTCCGCGCGGGTTCGATTATTTGTATCCTGACGGGCCACTGTATCCTGATCCTGGCAGGGCACGTCGTGAATTTGTCATTGGAATTACGTTTTCCCTCGACAAAGTTGCGGTCAAAGCGACGATACGCACGCGATGGGGCGTGACTTTTTAGTTCCTTTTTCTGAGGAACTTTCACTTTTCCCCTTTAGCCACTCGGTAGTCAAGTAATTGTTGCCGTCGACAAATAGATAAATAAATTAGCAGATGTAGATGTGAAAATGCATGAGACCAAACGGACTAAACAGACAAAAACACAAGCGCGCGAGAGAGAAAGAGATGGGACGAACTAACGCGGACGCACCTCCCCACCCCGTGCACCGGTTAGCCTCTGCGAAAAAATGAGCCTCATTCGGCGGACCTGATTGTTCTTTGCAGCATATATGGTGCGTCGCGCCATGTCTGCGCGTGTGGAAAATCACGTGCGCGGCGATGCGAAATTTTCTGGCGGCGTTGACGCAAGCGATCATCCGGCCGGTCATGGAGGCGATGGGTTACCTCTGCCACAATATCCGCGTATTCAATCAGAAGCTGCCGGACGGTCCTTACCAGAAGGAGGACCTGCTGGTCGTGTAATCGACAGAGCCGGCGCCGCTCGCTCGCTCGCTCGCTTCTTCGTCCGACTTGCGTCTCTCCTTTCGTCTTTCGGCAAGCGTGCGTGCGTGCACGCACGCGGTATCGCGGCGTGGTCTCGCGAGTTCATCACAGCGGGAACATCGAGTTGTAATTACGGGAGAAAGAGACCGCTCGCGCGTCTTTTCGAACACGCGACCAAGTCGCGTCGCATCGTTCTCGCTCGACCGCGGCTTCATTCGCGAGCGGAAAGATCGCCGAGCGACGGACGAAGGCGCCCGCGAGAGACGTCGCGTCCGACCGCGAGAGTATGGATCTTAATGTTGAGAGAAAAAATACACACCACGAGGAAACGCACGGAAGTGTGCCTCGCTGATCGCAACGGCTCTCGGATACGCCGCAGAGCGGCTCGAAATAAGGGACTCGTTATCTCCTCGAATGCGCTTTCCCGCAGTCGATTTCATTCAATTACCATCCCGGCCCGTCGGCGGGTCGTCTCAGCTCAGCTAAGGCGCGACGAGGCCAATGTGGAAAAAAATGCGCATGTGTCTTGTTTGTAGCTGCTCCAGCGGGGATGCTCGAAGCTCGGCAGGATCTCGCCGATCGGCGAGAAACAGCTCCGTGCGTCTCCCGAGCAGGGTTGGCAAAAAAACATGTTCAAAATAAAGAAAACTTCATGTAGTATAGTCGGGGTGGTTTAATAAGAAATATTTTTTTTAAATCATTTCATTTGAATAAATCATGAAATATATGTATACAAGATGTGAGTTATTAAGTAAATACACTACTTAAAAAAATTATGGCATCAAAAAATTTGCGCTGAAAATTGCTCAACTTTGAACAATGATTTGTCACTCAGTGACAAATGGTTGTTGTAGAACGATGATTTTTTCTTTTTAATTAAAGGTTGAGGTCTCAACTTTAACGTGCTTTCGGTCGATTTTAGATCCAACTGATTCCTACAGCGTGCGATCTCATAATTCAATGGCATGTTTTTGATTTAAAAATTTGCAACTTTGATAAAATGCACAGGCTTGGGTAATTTTTTTTCGAAATTTTCATTTGCGGGAAATGAAAGTTTGATTCTTCCTGTTTCATTTAAAAAAAATTCAAGTCTATGATTTTTTTCGCGATTTTATAACATTTTAAAAAAACCCGTACATTTTCGTTATCGAAGGTAGGATTTGTAGGAAATCACTGTCAACTTTGGCATTGCCTAATGGGATACCGAATTTTGGCATTAAGTGTAAAACAAGGTAGTTCATGGTAGTGTTTTATGATAGAAACATGCATCCGTTGTCTCAGGCTCAACGAGCACTAATTATTGCGCTTATGAGCCAAGGCTCATTCTCGCAAAGGTACGTGACGAGGCAACTAACCAATCCGCGGTTTCGCAAATTTGGTTACATTTCCGGGAAACGAGTAATTTACAACAACCAGTAGAGGAACAGGGAAGACAACAGATGACAACTCTACGAGAAGATCCCTCGGAATCGGCAATGTGCTAATGCCAAAAATTATTGAATATAGCTACGCAAACCCTACTTCCAGTAACGAGAAAAGATCGTAGAGACTTGAATTTTTTTTTTTTTAATTGAAGGGGAAGAATCAAACTTTCATTTCCCGCAAATAGAATTTTCGAAAAAAAATTACCCAAGCCCGTGCGTTTTGTCAAAGTTTGCAAATTTTTAAATCAGAAACATGCCATTGGATTATGGGATCGCACGCTGTAGAAATGTATTGGATCTATTGGGTTGGCAACCAAGTGATTGCAGATTTTGTCGACAGATGGATTTTACACTTTCTTTTGTTTCGTTAACGTGTTCAAAGTACCTAACCTATATTTTTTTCTTATTGTTTGCACTTCTACCTTTCATTTAGTATAAAAATTATATCGATTAGTTCTTTAGTTTTGTTTTTATCTCAATTTAAAAATGGAAGAGCAAGACGTGCACTTCAGACATATTTTATTGTATTATTTCCGAAGAGGCAAGAACGCATCGCAAGCACACAAGAAGTTATGTGCCGTATATGGAAATGAAGCCTTGAAAGAAAGGCAGTGTCAAAATTGGTTTGCCAGATTTCGTTCTGGTGATTTTTCATTGAAAAATGCTCAACGATCTGGCCGTTCAGTTGAAGTCGATGAGACCCATATCAAGGCCATTATCGATTCAGATCGTCATAGCACAACACGTGATACTGCAGAGGAGCTCAATGATCGCATACATGCATTGAAAAAAATTTAAAAAAGCAAATTAAAAATTTTGAATTTTCATTCTTATTTAAAATCCGCAATCACTTAGTTGCCAACCCAATAAAATCAACCAAAAGCATGTTAAAGACTTCAACCTTTAATTTAAAAAGAAAATCATCGTCTTACGACCATTTGTTGCTGAGTAACCATTGCTCAAAGTTGAGCAATATTCAGCGCATATTTTTTGATGCTATAATTTTTTTGTGTAGTATAGATATAATGTACATACGTGTATATGTAATAATTATTTTTTTAATAATCGTGCAACAATGTATACATGTAATAATAATCTTACGTCCAAAATTTATATCGAGCACCTAAAAAAACATACGTTTAAAATTCTCGGGTGTTTGAAGCTTTTGTTTGAAGCAAGAGGCTTAAGGTACGCCAGTCCTGCTCCCGAGTAAGGAGAGAACCTATAAGATAGTTTGTACTTAATATTTTAATATTACACGAAATGTTAATCGTCCATAGGTCATACATACTCTAGGCGAGATGTCACTGTCTCGTATGTGTACACCGGCGGGGAGGTATATATTTTTGTAGTGTAAGTTACGTAACTTTGCCGGCGCGGGCTTCGATTCACGGCTTCGACTCGCGCCGCGCCGCGCGCGATAACCGCGCTCGAGAAATTCCGTAGAATTATCGGCGATACACTCGCGCACGGGTCCGCCCGTTTCGAGGTGTGTTAGTCAGTGTAAAAGTCTAACGTGCACGGCCTCGGTAGAGGCATAATAATAATAATCTTAACTCTTGCGCATGTCTCGGTTACTCGCGGACCCGGTGAATTAAGCAGCGCGCGTTAGTCAATATTTCAGCCGCGCGAGCCGGGCTCCTTCGTCGTCCTCTTTCGCTGCAGTTCAGGAACGAGTCTACAACTGCAACTAGTCCAGTCTCGGCCGACTCGCTTCAACCACTCTAGACGATCTATAATCCCGCGACGGGACTCACTCCGGGGCTTCTACTCCTCGCGGAGAAACTTTCGAAGAATCGAAACTGCGTTTATAGGTGCGCGCGCGGCACGTAAAATCTAATAAGTCTCCGAGCGAGAAGCGACTTGACACTTGCAACACACGTTGCACGTGAAAGTACACGTAGGGGAAATCCCGTCGCGAGCGAGTCACTCGGTTTTATCTAGAGTGGCTTTTGCGAGCGAGACGGCAGATACGAAGGCGAGGAGTTAGATCGAGTAGCGACAGTGTGTGATAGTGGTGGTATATACTGGTAGCAGTACGGAGAATCCGTCCGAGAGAGATAATCCGACATTCTAAAGTGACTGAAGAAAGTTTTCGGCATTAGTGAGAGACGCACGTGCGGAGAGTCGCGTGGCAGGCGGAAAATATTAGACTGAGATGAGAAAAGAAAAAACGTGCGTACGATTAAGCGTAGAATTTATGTTAAGCAGTCGTATCGAGGCGACGTAAGCCGTAACAGAGCCAGAGTCGTATCTTCAGTACTTCAGTACATTTCTAAGGTGTCGAGTCTTTCTCTCTCCTTGTCATTGCCGTTCTAATTCTCTGTAGAGGTTCCGCCGTCTCGATTCCGATCTCTAGTCTCGAAATCCTCGATCTCGAGCGTCGTAAGTAACTTTTAAGATTTTACGATAAATGATCGCAATAGAGCAAATCAAGAATTGTACATACGTACATTCTGCAGGTACGTTTTGCAAATAAAACATGGAACTTAAACGACGACGTGTCTACGGATTTTCCCGTCAAGATTTGAGGTCGTAGGCTTCAAATGGGCGAACGCAGGCAATCGCGGATGAGAAAGGGAGAATTTCTTTTCAAATTCAACTTCAAAGTCACTGTGGTCCTGTCGACGACAAGTTATATTTTTCGGCAAATTGCGGGTGGACTTTGGCAATATTTTTCTTTGACGTTCGGCTGCGGAGATGCACGACGCCGAAAACTGCAATTGCTACTCCCGCGATCGGAAGATTGCAAGCGATTTTCTCTTTTCCTCAAGACAAGACTTCTCTCTATTCAAACTCGCCTCCATGTTTCCAACGAGCCAATAAGAGCCTCAGCCTCAGCCGCGACAGCCTCAGTCCCGGCTGACGTCGCGGCAGCGTTTTCAACGACAGCTGACTCTCCGCTGCCGAACGGAGCAGAGTCGAGGAGAACGCTTGTCGCAGGAGCGATCCGTGAAATATGTAACGCTGACGGGCAGCTTATCGAATTCCGGATGCTCGGTGTAAACGTGACTTAAGCCGCGGCTGATAAGATATTTCTCGAGGGGAGATCGATCAACAAGTCAAGTCAGTGTCGGTCGTGGTTGAAAATGGCGTGTCACGTGCGAAGGCTGCTTCTGAGAACGGGTGGTTTGTGTCGAATCAATTCGCCGAGATGTATCCTTTGGAAATCGACCGGCCAGAGTAGAGAAACCGGTCGCGGCCTCATCGTTGAATTCGGTGCGGGGTCTCGTCTATCAATTTCTTGATATTATCTTTAACTGTTAAGTCCTTATCAGGGATCTCCGGCTCCGCGTCTCTTCAAGCCAAACGTAAGTGCTTCCCCCCAAATTCTTTTATTTATTTTGGGATTTTCCCTGCGCGATCGTGAGAGTTGAGGACAGATAAGACGCAGATAACTCAATTCGGGGAGATGATCTGTACTGATGATCTCTACACCGACTGTCGTCCGACGATCCGTGCAACACGGTTCTGAAATGTAGATGGCAGCACGATGCAGAGAGTAGTATCTTCACTCGGCCGATAGGTCGTTGCTTGCGGCACAACCGGCTGTGCGACTTCGCTACTGATCGCTACTGATAAACGATAAGAGCATATAACAGATATTATCGAGAGAGATGTGATAATTCTAAGATCAAGTGCGTTACTTCTTCAGCGGTTACATCACGCGAGAAATGGTACAGCGTATCTTTCAGCGAGAAAGTAGACCTTTCGCAAACAAATGGTGCCAGACTTTTTCAACGAGACAAAGAGATGAGATGAAATAATTTTTTTTCCCCCAAAAAAGGAACGAGCATATCAGAGAGGAACGCGTAGACTCCTTTTCCGTCATCGTGATATAAGTCGCTGCGATAATTATTATTAGTTTGTTAAAACATACCTTGCCGAGCCTGGATCTGGGGACAGAGCCGTTCCGTTTTATAACTCGTACGAATTGCGATTTAGCCAGCTTCAAATGGGAGGACCCTTTCGACCTGGAGTCGCAGCTGACGCAGGACGAGATCCTAATTAGGGACCAGTTCCGTTCGTACTGCCAGGAGCGACTGTTGCCGCGCGTGATCGAAGCGAATCGCAAGGAGCACTTCGACAAGGAGGTCATGCGGGAGATGGGACAGCTCGGGGCTCTGGGCTGCACCATAAAGGGTTATGGCGCCGCCGGGGTGTCCTCGGTGGCTTACGGCCTGATCGCCCGAGAGGTCGAGAGCGTCGACAGCGGGTATCGATCCGCGTACTCGGTGCAATCCTCCCTCGTCGCGCAGGCGATTTACACGTTCGGCAGTGACGCTCTGAAGGAACGATTCTTGCCTAAGCTGAGTATGTGAAAGAACGCTCTTTGAAACTTTGTTCTCAGATCATGAAGAGATAATTAGGTTCCGCAATCTCCCGGAGAGTATCTAGTTCGTCGTCTTTGAGGAAAGGAAAGAAGGGGGGGGGGACAATGAGGCAGAAAAATGAGAAACATGAGGGACACTCATATGTGACAACCTCTGACCTCTCGCGAAATATAAATTTCTCGATGTTTCCGTTTGTTAAATTTTTTATTCGTCCCTTTATCGACGGGAGCAATTAATCGTTTGGTTAATTGATGATTTGGTAGAATCGGAGAGAGTTTTTCTGCCTTTGCAATTACCGTCGCGAGTCGCGAAGAACCTAAGAAGAAGGGGGAAGGATCCAGTATCTCACTATGATGATATCACAATCCTGAGGATGAAACGATGGAACGTCGATCGACGCGTAGCTTTGAGATGACGCGACCGCATCGTGCGCGCTTCAAGTAATTCGATAACTTGCCGAGTGTATTTCAGTCTCCGGCGAGAAGATCGGTAGCTTCGGCTTGACGGAGCCTAATCACGGTAGCGATCCAGGATCCTTGGAGACGAGGGCCGTTTACGACGCCGACAGGAAGGCTTACAAGCTGAACGGTAGTAAAACCTGGTCAGTCACAGACGCTACTCTCTTCTCGCGGTTCAAGCTCACGAATCTCGGTCTCATCGAGTCTCGTTTAGGATAACACACTCGCCCATCGCCGATGTGTTTGTCATATGGGCCAAGTGCGAGGACGGTCAGATTCGCGGCTTCGTCTTCGACAGGGAGGACGCGAAGGAACGATTGTCCACCCCGAAGATCGAGGGCAAGTTCTCCATACGAGCGTCCAGCACCGGGATGATCCTGATGGACAACGTGGTCGTACCCGAGGAGAACATGCTGAACGTTCAAGGACTCAAAGTAAGCCGCGCGCCGCTTGCCCTGACGAGCTTGATACTCGTTCATCCCTCTCGATTATCGCGTCTGCCATCGCTCTTCTTTTCGCTCTCGCTATCGCATCATTTCGCATAGTCTAAGATATAAGACTGATGAGAAGAGTTTGCTAAAGGGACCCTTCACCTGCCTGAACAACGCCCGATACGGCATCGCATGGGGCGCGTTGGGCGCGGCGGAGGCTTGCCTGAGGATCGCGCGCTCGTACACTCTGGAGAGACGGCAGTTCCAGAGACCGTTGGCCGCGAATCAGCTCGTGCAGAAGAAACTCGCGGACATGATGTGCGACATCGCGCTCGGCCTCCAAGCCTGCCTGCGGGTCGGCAGGTTGAAGGACGAGGGCAGGTAAAGCGTTCGTTCCAGGTCGAATGGAGGAAGTCAGTTTTGCAAGTACCGTCGCGAGTCGCGGAGAATCTAAGAAGAGGGGGGCGGGGGAAGGGGTCCAATATCTCACTAGGATAATATCATAATTCTGAGGATGAAACGATAAAACGACGGAACGTCGATCGACGTAGTTTTGACATGACGCGACCGCATCGTGCGCGCTTCGTAATTGAAAGTGGCTGGTGGCACGACAGAGAGATTGAATCGAGAAATTCAAGAGCATTTTGTGCCGCAGAGCCACGCCGGAAATGATCTCCATGATAAAGAGAAACTCGGCCGGCAAGGCGCTGGAGATCGCGCGCGTCGCGAGGGACATGCTGGGCGGAAATGGGGTTTCGGACGAGTACCATGTGATCAGACACATGGTGAACCTGGAGTCCGTCAACACCTACGAAGGTACAGGAAGGTCTTTTTCCGTGTCTGAGTGAAAAATTGAAACACTCAAGCGGATCTGTATCTCTCTTTCTCCCCTCCCCCTATCTCACTCTCTCTCTCTCTTTTTGTCTTTCTTTGCAGGCACACACGATATCCACGCGTTGGTACTCGGAAGGGCAATCACCGGCATTTCTGCGTTCGCTGGATAAACATTCTGAGATTTTTTAAACAATCTGCCTCATTGTATATCTCTCTTGGATAGTCAGCATTTGTTTGAAAGAACCGACCGTCTTTTCGCATCAACTGGATCTTTCGCGGACAATTGGGATAATTAATAAATCATGTGATGCGTGATGAAGAATAGGAGATGGCGACAATGATATGTATTGGGTTGGCAACTAAGCGATTGCGGATTTTGTCGACAGATGGATTTTACACTTTCTTTTGTTTCGTTAACGTGTTCAAAGTACCTAACCTATATTTTTTTCTTATTGTTTGGACTTTTACCTTTCATTTAGTACACAAATTATATCGATTAGTTGTTTAGTTTTGTTTTTATCCCAATTTAAAAATGGAAGAGCAAGACGTGCACTTCAGACATATTTTATTGTATTATTTCCGAAGAGGCAAGAACGCATCGCAAGCACACAAGTGGTTATGTGCCGTATATGGGAATGAAGCCTTGAAAGAAAGGCAGTGTCAAAATTGGTTTGCCAGATTTCGTTCTGGTGATTTTTCATTGAAAAATGCTCAACGATCTGGCCGTCCAGTCGAAGTCGATGAGACCCATATCAAGGCCATTATCGATTCAGATCGTCATAGCACAACACGTGATACTGCAGAGAAGCTCAATGTATCGCATACATGCATTGAAAAAAATTTTAAAAAGCAAATTTTGAATTTTGAATTTTCATTCTTATTTAAAATCCGCAATCACTTAGTTGCCAACCCAATATATACACCTTGTGGTCTCTCTCTTCCTCTCTCTTCCTCTCTCTCTCTCTCTCTCTCTCTTTCTCTCTGATGCAACACACAAACATCCCTCTCCTGCCGAGTGCCAAAAGCTCGAACGTCCTCGCCTGTCCTCAGACTGTCGTTCGCAGTAAGACTTGAATGACTCTCGTTACATTTTATTGCTCGTTTATTCTCTACTTTACGTTTTAACAATTTCATGGTGTGCTCTTGTTCACTAAGCGCCATTCGCTCTCGCTCTCATCTTCCGACCCGCCGTTCACTCGCTCGTTACCACCCGTCCCACGATAGATACGCGCGCGCGCGGCTTTCGAAAGAAACAATTACCGCGACGACTCCTCTCCTCGGGATCGATCTTCGCAGCGTTCGCTCCGATTCCCGCTATCCGAACGTCCTGCTCGAAGCCGCGAGTTTCTCGTCGAGCTAAGTCCCCCGAGCGAAGTTACGCGTTCGCCAAAATCGTCGCCGCCACGCGGATCGACGCGCTTCTCGCGAATCGAGAATCACGCTGCCGATTGTTAACGTGGCGTCCCCGCAGGCGTCCGTCGTCGAGGCGAGAGGAAATCCGGCGCGGCGACACGTTCGGAGAGGCGCGGGACAGATCCCCGCTCACTGGTCCGAATTATAAAACGATTAAGTCGTCGGTATTTACAGACGGGCAGATTCTCTCTCTCTCTCTCTCTCTCTTTCTCACGCACACACACACACACATACACTGTCTCTCGCTCGCTCTCGCGGTTCTCTTGGATCAATCAACCGTGATTTCTCTTTTTACAACGTCGACATTCCCCCATTCTCACGCGCTCTCGCTCTCTCATTCGCTCTCTTTCTCTCCTCCTCATATACACACACACACACTCTCTCTCTCTCTCTCTCTCTCTTTCGGTCTAATAACTAGATCTCCGTACAAATATAATATATATGTATATATATATATATGTATATATATATATATATCTATGTATGTTCAGTGCCTTTGTAGACTAATTTGATATTAAATGAAAATATAAAAATCTATACGTCAGCTACGGTTTTTATTTATACGACACTCGGTAGTCCGTCTCGCAATTTAAGAGCGACCGCTGCTGGTGACGTCGCGCGTCATGCGGAATACACGGGTTATTTCGGGATTGCAGGCGAAAAGTCGGGGCTGCGTGGCTGCCGATTGGCGCTCGCGAGAACCGGCGAGAGGGTCTCGAGCGATCGTGGATCCGCGAGCTGATCGTTCCCGGCACGTGCTGGGCTTCCTCGTTTCGCACGCACCGAGCTCGTCGCGCGTGCGAACGCGTGTGCGAACGAGCGACATCAACCGGGGGCGAGGGAGAGGCAAGAGTTGAAAGTGGTCAGCGACTCACCGGCCGAGTTGGGGAATGCGCGCGGATTTACAAATCCGCGGGATCCGAGTCGAAGCGCGGTACCAGCGGAACTCGCCTGGCGAGTCCGGCGACGCGCGGCCGGCCGGCCGGCAAATCCGCGTTCCGACCGCGTAACGCATTACGCAACGCGTTACGTAACGCGGCATTGGCCCCGTCGCCGCCGCGTCAGCTGGCCGTTTGAGCCGGCGCGCGGTCGTCGACCTCCGTTCGCGCCGACCTGTCAAAATTTTCGAGGGTTGACCTAACCGGAGCGGAGAGATCGGTCTTCTCGACGCGCTTCTTTGACATCGCGGCAGATTCGAGCGAAGACTTTGACGCGACGCGCTTTGTCTCGGTCTCTCGCTCGAATTGTCCTCCCCGTCTGTCGTCGCGATAATCGACGCTGCCGCGAATCGGAAGTAAGAGCAATCTTTCGACTTCTCGTCGAGAGCTGGGAGACCGAAGAGTTGGATCACTCCAGCGATTTCTCAGCTCACGAAATAACGAGTCTCGGGAGCGATCCGCGACCGTGGAGCCTACGACCGAGACGAGACGTTTCCGCTTGCCCTCGCGAGTTCTAGCGAGGCCAGTTGAGGTCTTCACCGATAATCCGGAAACGGCCTGCGTATTGTGGCGTGTGTATCAAAAATAATCGCCACGTGGCTGACACGTGGCAGAAAAGTGTACAACTGAAAACCGCGTCGGAAAGGTGCGTTGAACAACAAGACGGTCCTCTCCTCTCCCGAGATGACCTCCTCTCTCCTCCCGTTTTTTTTTTCTTTTTTTGCTTTTTTCTTTGCTCCCCTGCGCGGATTAACGAGACCATTAGAGCTGGCGCTCTAGAGGAAACATAATCGGCCCTCCGTTGCTCCCCAAAGTCCCTTGAGTCTTAAAAATGTTAACCACTTGATTTGCAAAGTGACTTAGCTTAACGACTAGAATCGTAATCCCCGTGCTCGGGATGAAGAGAAAAGAGGAGACATTTTCGTGTGGAAATTCCCTGCCTGGCGCTAGCAACCCCCCCCCCCCCGAATGCCCCCGTCCGTTTTCGGCGACGCGGGGAAACGTCGGAGGGAAAAGTTGCGCGGCTCGAGGCGAAGCGAGGGTTGTCAAAATATTGAAGTTAGGATCATCGGACGCGTTTTAGGGCAGCGTCAACGACAGGGAGCGTCGACTCGCGGGAAGATTGTACGACTCTGTTCGGAAAAATTTCCCCTCTCCTCTCTGACACTTTCCCCGCACTCTCGTCGAAGAGACTTCGTCGCTCGAAAGTAAGCTTCGTGACCGGGTCGGAGCGGTTGATACAATAACGATAACGCGGGATGAAAGTTTTCCTCGAGATCATATTAGCTGGCAGTATCTTGCAATACACCCCCCGCCGCGCGTCAGATCGTGCCGGATCGTGTTTTTCGTTCGTCGGTTCTCTCGTCGAGACGCTTTCCCTCGCTCGGGCTTCGGCCTCCTGCATTGAAATTTTCACCGTTAGACTTCGCGGCGCGAGTCCTCCCTGCAAGAACCTTCGCTCTTGCGCGAGTCGTCAAATGCAACGAATGCAGGTCTAACGATTCCCGTCGACGGGCCGCGTCACCGCGAAGGGAATGGTCCTCTCCGCGGCGGCAACAACTACCCCTCGATCGTAAATCGCCGGGACGAACGACCCCTCGACCAATCGATCGATCGATCGATCGATCGATCGTTCGCGCCGCGATCCGCGGTAGCAATAACAACCAGGGCGTCAACACAAGCGACTCGAGTAATCATAAATAAATTAAGTTTAATTGCTAAGTAATAAAACGTTAATTACATATGTCAATGATAATTAATTTAAGTTACAACACACGTCTCGTGCAAAAGTGTAAAGAACGTTTTTTTTCGTGCTACACTCAATACCATTGTTCTTGTTTTTTTCCTTTTACGATTTAATGTGTGTGTGTGTGTGTGTGTGTGCGTTTGTGTGTGTTAAGTTGGTATATTGTTGTGTGCTGTGTCTCTTGTATCTTGCGTGTCTATGTGTACGTGTGTGTATGAGTGTGTATATGTTTAATGATTCCTGGCTACAGTAAGCTCTTGGTAAAACGTAGTTAACATTGTAGTTTACAGTAGTTTACAATCGCCTCGCGGCCCCCGATCGCGGATGCGTCTATTACATACTTACACATGGTATGTAATGTGTGCCGGGATCGAATCCACTCTTCGTCGTTCGAATCGTCGCGAAAAAGAGAGAAAGAGAGAGAGAGAGAGAGAGAGAGAGAGAGAGAGAGAGAGAGAGAGAGAGAGAGAGAGAGCGAAAAATCCCAACGACGACGACGACGACGACGACGACGACGACGACGACGACGACGACGACGACAACGACGACGACGACTACCGCTACTGTCGAAAATATCGACGAAGAGAAGCAGATCCTCGTCGATCCGTCGTCGCGGATCGAGGAGGAGATTCTCGAGTGGACGACCCCCGTCGCCCTTCTTGTTCCCCCCTCCCTCGCGCGAATTCGATCCCGTCATCTTCACAAGTGTATTGATCGTGTGTCGGCCCGAAAGTTCAATGGCACGCCGCAAACCCCGCAACAGCGTCGGGTTCGCATAACCACGCTTTGTCTACTAACGGATATACGTAATCGCAAATAAATTAATGACTCTTCTTCCTTCGCCTCTTCTCTCTCTGCCTCCTCCTCCTTCTCTTCCTCTTTTTTCTTCTTCTCGTCTCTCACCTCCTTTCTCGTTTTCCACCTTTTCTCTTCTTTCTCTTCGTCCTCCCTCTCTCTCTCTCTCTCTCTCTCTCTCTCTCTCTCTCTCTCTCTCTCTCTCTTCTCTCTCTCTCTCTCTCTCTCTCTCTCTCTCTCTCTCTCTCTCTCTCTCTCTCTCTCTCTCTCTCTCTTCCTCTTCCTCCTCCTTCTCTTTTTCCACGCAATTTCGCTCGACTTATGGTACAAATCGCGATGGACTCCTCGATTTTCGCCCTCCTGCCGGCGTCAACATCTTAAACTCGATCTTACGACGCATCATCGCCGCGATACGTTTCGTCTGTTTCTGC